TTTAATTCTTTTAACTGTGAGTCGCAACTTCCTTTACTTTTGTTTCAGTTGACACACTTGTCTTATGGTTCATCTTGGCCAAGTTTCAATTTTCCTTGACTGCTGTCAATACTGCTTCCGGTTCCTCAACTTGGCTTTTTCCCTTTCCGAATTCGATCTGCTTGGGATATTGCATTCCTTCCTCAATTCCATGCTTGCTCGCCAATATTCGATTAATTGACTTCTTCCTATGCTTGTTCAGCTTCCATATTGCTGTCAATATGGCAGCAATAACTATCAAGGTATCTAATATAGCGGACCAGTTCACTATGGTCCCAGAATTGTCTCTCCTAACTGTACTCTTCTCACAAGGAAGTTAGTTTGTCTTTCAACTGGTCTAAACCGATTTTCTCTACTTGCTTTAATAACTTCCGTTTTGCTTTTAATGTAACTTCGGGGAATCTCTCTACCACTAGTTCCCATAACTCTGTCCAATTACTCAGTCCCATTTCAATCATCTTTCCGCGGAGTCCCGGGGCCACATATAACTTGTGGACCCAATTTGCCTCTCCTGTCTTTACCAGGATCCTCACGATTCCCGTTAGCGCCTTCTTCTTCCCGTCTGCTTAGTTAATTTCAATATTTAACCACCCCTCTGACCAAGGATACATACACCGCTGTGTGTCTATCAAGGCCTTTATCGCTTTTATACCGGTCCCCTCTGACCAAGAATACACACACCCCTGTGTGTCTATCAAGGCCTTTATCGCTTTTATACCGGTCCCCTCTGACCAAGAATACACACACCCCTTTGTGTCTATCAAGGCCTTTATCGCTTTTATACCGGTCCCCTCTGACCAAGGATACACGCACCCCTGTGTGTCTATCAAAACCTTTATCGCTTTTTATACCGGTCCCCTCTGACCAAGGATACACGTTTTTGTGTGTCTATCAAGGCCTTTATCGCTTTTATACCGGTCCCCTCTGACCAAGAATACACATACCCCTGTGTGTCTATCAAAACCTTTATCACTTTTATACCGGTCCCCTCTGACCAAGGATACACGCACCCCTGTGTGTCTATCAAGGCCTTTATCGCTTTTATACCGGTCCCCTCTGACCAAGGATACACGCACCCCTGTGTGTCTATCAAGGCCTTTATCGCTTTTATACCGGTCCCCTCTGACCAAGAATACACACACCCCTGTGTGTCTATCAAGGCCTTTATCGCTTTTATACCGGTCCCCTCTGACCAAGGATACACGCACCCCTGTGTGTCTATCAAGGCCTTTATCGCTTTTATACCGGTCCCCTCTGACCAAGGATACACACACCCTGTGTGTCTATGACCAGGATACACGCACCCCCTTATGTCTATCAAGGCCTTTTTTTATACCGGTCCCCTGACCAAGAATACACACACCCCTGTGTGTCTATCAAAAAAAAATCGCTTTTATACCGGTCCCCTCTGACCAAGGATACACGCACCCCTGTGTGTCTATCAAGGCCTTTATCGCTTTTATACCGGTCCCTCTGACCAAGAATACACACACCCCTGTGTGTCTATCAAAACCCTTTATCGCTTTTTATACCGGTCCCCTCTGACCAAGGATACACGCACCCCTGTGTGTCTATCAAGGCCTTTATCGCTTTTATACCGGTCCCTCTGACCAAGAATACACACACCCCTGTGTGTCTATCAAGGCCTTTATCGCTTTTATACCGGTCCCCTCTGACCAAGGATACACACACCCCTGTGTATCTATCAAGGCCTTTATCGCTTTTATACCTGTCCCCTCTGACCAAGGATACACACACCCCTGTGTGTCTATCAAGGCCTTTATCGCTTTTCCTTTTATTTCTGCATTGCAGGTAAGTTCCCATTCCTGGGCCAAAAAGGAAAACACTTTGGCTGCCTTTCTTCTGGAGCAGTGTCCACCGACCTTCTTGATATGGATGCTCGTAGCAAAAATCTCTCGACAACTATAAAGCAAGGGTTTCCCAACCATTTAGGTTTAACTTGCGACACCCTAGAACAACTCTCCCGAGGATTATTTTCTCTGTTCCTAACGGGTATGAAGAAAAGCTAATTGATCGTTCCTCTTTGTAAATTCTCGTAATAAAATAAATAAAACAATTGTTCCTCTTTGCAGCTTCTAGATATTTATTATGTAAAAGTTACATAATTGTGGCACAAGGCCGAAAAGGGGGGGGGGGTTTAAGGTTGGTCTACATTAACTATCTTATACCTAGATAATCCATTCACTCATTACAATTTACCCATTTACCACAAGAATTCGTCCACCACCAATCAATCCCCCATGCAGAATAATACCATATCCTCTCTAGGGGGACATACAAAATGCGCCGCATGCCATAAAAAAATGAATGGTAGTAAAATATATATAAAATTTGTGATGAAAAAATGAGGGGAGGGAGATGAACCTAGTAGAAAACTGAAATATTAACACAAATTAAACCTAACTGATGTTAGTAGGGCCCGTCCAACCCTCAAAAAACAGAGAGGCCACTGTATTCTGCCCATGAGGCAAAATCAAGAAGCTCTCTCGATAGGGGAGTGGGAAAAGGATAAAAAATCATGCGTTCATGGGAAAATATAAAGCTGACCCAGTCGAGATAAAAAGGGGCCCAAAACAACTGGGGATGTTGGGAATCTGTGGCCGGGAACAACTCTTACTCACATTAACTAGGTACACAAAGCTTGTCTCAACTAACCAAGGGGAGGGCTCCACAGGAAACCACCCCGATATGACATAGGTTGACCGAAAAGAGAAAATCAAGGCTAACCCCGTTCAAACGAACCAAGCTCGCTTCTTTCACCCACCTTTCGCTGAAGACTGTCGAATGCAATCGTTTTCTATCAGTTCTAATCTTCATCTTGAGCTGATGCTCAAAGAATCGGATCAGATGAGAAAGACGGTTGCCTCGCATGACTTCCTCCTGTCGCGTCGTCCAAATCACCATTCGGGCCGTGGCCAGCAGCACCAGAAACACCATCCGTTTCACCTCGGAATACGGGGGCGACACATTGTCACACGCGTATGCGCGATCAATGGGCACAAGCTTTTCGGGAGCGAGACGAGCCATCAACTCGCCGACATGGTCCCATATGTGGCGAACCCAGATACAATGATAGAAGGCGTGCGAAGCCGTTTCCTCCAAACCAAGGCCACATCGTTCACAGTCTGGCAAATCCGCCAAGCCCCATATGAAAACCTGGTCATTGAGAGGTAGCCGATTTCGAGCCAATCGCAAGGTAAGCGAAAACTCAAGACCAGTAAGAGCGAAACTCATCCTCCGACATACCGAGCACCTCACGTAGGGAATCCTTCGCGACCCCCTCCATTAGAAGACGATAGAAGACCTTCTTAGGCCGAGAAAGGTTACTGGAACAGCCAATAAGGCTGACCGACACTCGCGAAGGAAATACGATCGATCCCCGGGTCCACGATTGCGCTCAACCCGCGTGATAGGGGGACTGATAGTAAGGAAAGGGAACGCGCCCCTAACAAACCCTGCCATAATCCAATCTCCTGTCAATGCGCGGCGTAGGAAAGCCAACCTCGAGGCGAGTTTGTGGCTCACCAAGTGTGGCATTCCCAGCCCCCCCCCATGACACGGACGTTGTGCACAGTCTCGTTTGTCGACATGATTACGCATCTCCTCCATAAAATGGAGGTTAGCGAGCGTTCGAGCGGCTTCTTATGGTCTTCACAGAGAGGAAGTACGGACAATCGATAAAGAACAATCGGGTAAATGTATGTAGCGTACACCTCCGCCCTGCTCTTCACGGACAACCTTCGTCGATGCCAAGGTAGCGATGGCTAACCCTATCAAATACTTTGGACTGATCTAAATTGATCAGCGCGGCTCATCGTCGTCTTTTACACCCTTTATGATCGTGCGAATCAGATGCAGGTTACTCTAACTTGTTCGGCCCCTCACAGCACAAGTCTGCTCAGGACCCAACAGAGACTCGGCAATGAAAGATCCTGAACGAGTTTGCCGTTATTGACGCGCTTGTAAAAATCGTTATAGACGACTACGCAAATATTCCACTTGCGCATGTTAGGCCGTGATGTTGCGCGCATAATATTTCAGTAATCTTTGTTCTAATCGTAACTTTCCTTTCTGGATTTGTCCTCGATTTTGTCGTTTTTCCTCTTTTTTGTCTTTCTTTTCCTTTACTGGTTCAAATCACTCAAAGCAAATGTCGTATATTATTCTACAAAAGGAACTGATCTGTTGCCCTATGTGACCTTTAAGATTGTTATTAAGGATAAAAGAAAACTCTTTGTCTTACTGTTACCTTTAGGCCACTGGATTCTTGGTTTACTTAGGATTTCTCCAGGGTGCTGTTGATCAACGATGGAATACTGAATGCTGTGGGTGTATCCTAGATTCATAATCTTATCACTCGATTTACATTCTCCGATAGAAGAATTACGCTGTTTGCACCAGCGTGTGCCTTATGGATACGTACACGGTTAAATCTTCTGCTGAAAATCACACGTTGTAGCCGGGTCCATATCGTTTCCATTAAAATCAGTCTGATGGGTAATATATTATTCTCCCTCCTCGCTACAGTCACCCAGAGGGCATTCGGCATCTCTTGTATTCTTCATATATATATATATATATGACTGTTTATTGCAACTGATCAAATCTGGCAAACTGGACATCTCCCGTCGTTTGGGTTCAACCACCTCGCTATAATACCAGCCAATTGAATTCAGTTTCATATTTTGTTTGATAGAAAGAAAATGCCTTAATAAAACAGTAAATATGGCTACAACTCAAAATCTATTTTTGTCTATTTCATTATTCCATTTCCTCTCTCTTCAAGATATAATAGGTTTATGGCTCTCCACAGCCTCCTCTCATTTGATTAACTTAATTAGAAATCAAATTAAGTTTTTTTTAAAAAGTTTTCTCTTGGTCTGATTGGCTTTCATTTTTCTTTCGTTTCCGCTCATCGAAAAATAGCAGAATTGGATGACTTTGGAAAACATAAGCAATATAGAGAGAGGTAAAAAGTCGGGGGTGGAGGAGAGTGTAGAGAAAATGAAGAGAGAAAAACAGTTTAAGGTAGAGGGAGGGAGGGATGAAATTTAGAAACGGGAGGAGGAGAGTCTGTGAAAAAGAAAGAATTTTATCAGTGATATTATTTCATCTGATTTTATTCTTAGTAATGATGATGATTGTTGTTTTAATCTCCCCCCCCCCCAATTTCCGGATGTCATTTCCCGTCCGGTAAAGACGGGCCACACCCCTTTCCTATTGAGCTACTCTTCCAGTTGGGACCTAAGAGATGTCCTTTTTAAAAAGAATCCTTTCTTATCCTGGGGCATCAATATGACCCCCCCCACCCCGAAGAAAGAAAGAAAATATTTTTAATTATTTGTCTCATCTCATATTGTTACCAGAAGAAAAAAAATCGATCAATTTTAATCAATTTTTTAATATTTAATTCCATTTAAAAATTCAATCAAATTCAATTCCACATTTTTTTGTCAACCTTTGGCGGTCGGAGAAAAAATAAAATATCTTGTAAAATCCATCTTTTTTTCCATAGAATTATTAAACTTTTTCTTTTTTTTTTAATATTTATTTGCTTTGACTCATTACGAAAAATGAACATTTTTCTGTCTTATTTACCTCAACTCATATTGAGGAATCATTAAAAACATTTAGAAACGAAAATTTATTCACATCAATAAGAATAAAAACATAACAAATTTTAATTAAAATAATTTTATTTTTTAAATTAATTTCCAAAATTTGTATTAAACAAAAAAAAAAAAAAAAAAAAGAAAAGAAATTTAATTAAAACAAATTTTATTTGTAAAATTCACGAAAAAAAATTCAAGCTTTTTAATTAATTTTTCAAAATTTTCATTAAATTTTCTCCATCGTTTTTAAAACAAACAAACATTTTTTTTTCCAGAAACAAAAATTTTCGGATCATTTTCAGATTCTTTCGTAAATTTGTACAGAACTTTTTCTGGTATGACAGAAAAAATTCCTTCCTTATTGCAAAAATAAAAATGACCAAATTCGTCTGCACAAAAATCGGAAATTTCTTTTTCAGTTACAACGGTTTGAAGAATTTGGCCATTTTGATTCCAAACCAAGAATTCCAACTTTCCTCGTATTGTCCCCCACAAATTCCCGGTCGTCGGATCGGCACGAAGGAGGGGGGTAGGAAAAAGAAAACCCGACACCAGCGATTTTTCAAGTTGGATTTTTTTGATTTTATTTCCTTCTTTAGAAAAACAAAAAATTTCTTTAAAATTCCAATCACAAACGAAAATTTTTTCGTTCGTTTGACACAAAGAATAAAAGTCATTTCCTTTTGTTTTGATTCTTTTTGTTATTTCTAAAAATGGCCGACATTTTTTTCGCGCCAAAAACAAAAGTCCACTCCACACCCACCCCACCACACAAACAACGAAATTGTCTTGGGAAAGACAACAAATATCTAGGGGTGAGAATCTTTCGAACGCCAAGAAACATTGGCCGACGAATTCCCCAGTCTCGCCGAATTCTTTGATCGAATTATCGCCCTCATCGACAACAAACACGTGACCGTCTTCGTCGCTGACGGCAATCGACCGAATCGACCCCAGGTTCGAATCCTGCAGGCGGCATTCGCTTTGAAGTTCCAATTCCATTGGGGGCCATGTCTTTACCGTCTTAAACTCCACGATTTCTGCTTGAAGTTGGTCCAATGATCGCTAGCACCATTCTGGAAAGGTCACCACAAAATGACCTTCCTCCACAGGAAAGAACGATTCGTGTAGCCGCCCTGAAAGCTCTGCTCCCAGCAACCGTACACCTGAAACAACGTCCACGTCGTCATTGCTGGTGACTAACAAAAGGCGCAAATCCGTGAGCCATTTTCCCGCTTCCTCCAAGAGATTTTCTTTCTCTTCGAGAATTTGGTGCCATTTCCTTTCTTCTTCGGTCGTTTTTTCTTTCATATGGTTGCACAACTCTGCGGCCTTCATTCTGGTCTTTTCCAGAAGTTCATCGAATTCCTGCCAGACTTTGGAGCAATTCACTTCGCAATCGATTGATAATTGTTCAATCGATTTCTTCGTCCGTTCAATCCCTTGACGGAGCTGCTTTTCGAATTCTTCGACATCTTCCTGCAAATCGACGAGGCGCTTTTTCGCTTCTTTTATCTCATTCCTCAAAGACGAAGCCATTTCTTGATTTCGTTTAGGAAAAATGAAATCTGAAAATACGAAAGAAAAAAAAATCTATTTTTAGAAAATAAAAAAAAAAGGTCAAAGTTCAAAATCATAAAAAGTCGATTTTTAAAACCGAAAATAAAATGAAGCGAAATTTTTAGAATTAACAAGAAAAACAAGTCGATTTCCTGAAAAATTTCATTTTTCTTGTAAAATCACAAATAAAGGCGGGGACGGCGTTAAGGGAAAAGAGAATGAATATGAGACAGTGGGAAACGGGGAAATAGTGAGAGTGAGAGAGAAAAATAAAATATATAGAGAGAGTCGGAGGTGGAAATATAGAGTATGTCAGAGTGAGTTAAAAGTGAGAGAAAGGAGAGAGTGGTTATCGATGCAGAAGTGAGAGGAGAGAGAGAGAGAAGTCCAATACGAGAAAGGGAAGGAAAGAAAGGGTAAAAGTAACAGAGAGAGAAAAGCTCCAATTTGTTGTCTTCACAATCACTTTTAAGATTCAGATGTTAATTAAATTGCTTCACTGGACACGATTTAAGAAATTTCAAAATGGCGGCTTTTTATCGTCTGCTTACGAAACAATTCATTTTTTTCTATAATGACAAAATCGAATCCATCTTAAATAAACTGGTCCACTCATTAAAAACATTTTTTTTTAAATGGGGTCATTTGGGGTCTGTGAAGGATTTTTGTAGATTAGCATTTATTAGACTTTCAAGCTATGACGATTGAGAGAAACGAAATTTTTTTATTTATTTATTTTTTTTTTTTTTTAAACAAACAAGGGGTCCTGTTTATAATATCGTTAAAGTGTAAAATCGATCCCTGATTTTTTTTTAAATGTATACTTTATTACAAAAAAACGCTTAAAGAAGAAAAAAAAACTTTTTGTATGAAAAAAAAAAAGAAAAGAAAAAAGCAGCCACATAAATTAATCAAAGTTTGCATTCGTTTATTCTTCATTTAAAATAAAGTTATTCCTCTGACTGTGAATCCCCCCACCCAAAAAAAAGAAGCGAAAAATATGCAGATATTTCTGATGAAGGCCGAATTTCAAACATTACATTTGTAAATAAGAATAATTCTTTCAAAGTTAGTGATCGATTTTACACGATATCATTATTAATATTATGAACAAGACCCTCACTTTATAAATCGGGGAAAAAAAAAAAAAAAAAATCATTTTTCGATGGTGTCGTAGTTTGAAGAAAATCCAATGAATTTTAATCTACAAAAAATAATTACCTCCTGCCAAAAATGTTCACTATTTTATTACAAATGGACCAATATATTTAAGTAGTGCCAAGAAGTGAATTTAGTTTTCGGAAATATCACAAATTGACTAAAAACGAAATAAAGAAGGAGGAAGAAAGCAAAGAAAACAAATTCGATGATTGAAAGGAAAGAAACAAGCAGTTAACAAACTAAACAGAAATAAACGTCATCTTATCTTACTTATTATAAAACGCAGATTTTTGTGTGAGTGAGTGAGTGAGTGAGTGAGTGAGTGAGTGTTCGTTCGTTCATATACGGGATCGTATTTCCTACATTTTTCAACCGATTTCAACAAAACTTCACAGGACTACGTAAAATTACCCGGTGGTGGTTCTGACAGCGCCAAAAATTGGAAAAACAATTGTTTTTGCACGAAATCAATTTGAAAGCACGGTTAGTGTATCGCACCCGCCCGGAAGTTACTGTCGGCTATTCAAACGTTCGATGCCGTTAACTTCCGGTGACTCAGCGTTTTTTTTTTTTTTTCGGAGAACTTTACACAAAAAGTAAACAAAAAACCTAAACATACACAAGTGCTCCTAACTAAAAATAATAACTGGAAACTACTTTAAATACACATGGTGTCCAAATGAAATAGAAATGAATAGACATTTATTATATATATATATATATATATATATATATATATATATATTTCTTTTTTTTTGTATGTGTGCCACACATACATATATATGTGTTTATAGATGTATTTAATCATTTATATATATCATGGACATGCTTACATTATAGTTAATTTTTATTACTTTTATTACTTTAAATATATTATATTTTTTATTACTATTTAAATGATGATAATGTTTAAATGAATAACAGATTGCATTTCTGATTTTTATTACTGGTTACGCAGTTAAAATTTCATCCATAAAATTTTCCCCTACCTTCCCTTAATACAATATTCTCAAAAAAAATCTAAAGTAGGATCTGCAATGTAATTGGTACTGAATTAGCTTCTTGACTTCAGCCGCTTTCTCACAGACGTGGTGTGGCTTCCCTATGTCTTTTCTACAAAAATGTTCATGGCTACTGCACTGATGAGCATTTTTTTCCTGGTGCCCTGACTACATGAATTTAAGTGTACTACTAGATTGGCATCTAGGTCCCAACATTTTACTATTGAAATAATTAAATGTAACCGCCCTTCTAAAAGTTTTTCCTCGCACTTCATATTGTAACTCCATTCCTCTCACTTGTTTCCCTGATAACTATAATCATCAAAAACCTAAAGGCAACATCAGTCACCATGTGTTGTTGCGTTGATACCTGTTCTTTTTTCCTTTCTTCAATCCCCACCTACACCCACTCTTTTCTCTCATTTTCACTCTCCATAACATCCTGTGTGATAATGGCACCCCCTGACTTGCTTGAGGTGAAATGCTTTAAAAAAAAACCCAAAAAAAAACAACAAAAAAAAAAAAACCAAAACATTGAATATAAAATAATTAGGGTACTGACAAAAGCATCTAATAAAATAATTAGGTTACTGAAAATAGCATCTACCACAATCAAAAGGTAAAGCTCTCCCTATCAACAGCTAAAATAAAATATATATATATATATATATATATAAAAGGCAGGATATATATGTGTGTGTGTGTGTGTGTAACGAATGCACGGCCGCAATTTTCGACGGATTTGCACCAAAATTTACATACACATGCTCCAAGTTAGTGGGAAAGGCAAAGACCGACTTGGCATTTCCCAACTCCCATCGATTGTGGAAATAATCGATTTCTACATGCTTTTACGGCAGTTTTCATGTAGTTTGCGGCCATTTTCTACTAGCCAGCGTGAGAGCCAACAGCTGAGTGATACGAATGTTAACTAGCATGCAAAAAAATAATCGATAGCTGCATTCATGACAAATGGGAAAAATTTAAATCTGCATGGCACTTCACACCAATTGGCTCATTAGCTTGCTTAAACTCAACGTTGATTCTGATTCCGCAGAACTGGGTTGGGTGTGAAAATTATTCGTTAATTTTTTTTCATTCGGTTTTGCCAGTTACGAGTCCTTTTTTAAAGCTGATCGTTTTGTGTTCATTTTGTTAAGTTCTTTTTTCGTAACTGATTTAATGTTTAGTATAGAGCTTAGAAAAAACTCGCAGTGCGAGATAGGCAAGAAGTAAGGCATGTAGCAATATCAGCACGGCAAAGGGTACTCCTTTAAAGGCAAGGAAGGGCAAAAATATTTTAAGTCAAGTGATAGCGATTGCTGTATGAGTCGTACGATTTTTGAATCAAGCACGGGCAACGCCGGGCCATGCTGCTAGTCTTTAATATTTCTGATATCATTAGAAAGAAATATTAACTAAAAACGAATTTATTTTAACGCAGAATCCGGATCAGACATTTTTTATAAAATTGTATAAATAGAAAAAAAAACATTCTTGAAGATTTCATTTCAGCTTTAATTGAAAGTTTAATAGTTAAATTTATTATTTCTATTAATTAAACAATTCTGGTGTATTTCAGATAGAAACTATATACATTTGATTGTCAAATTTAATTTCAAATTCTTAAATTTTCTTAAAATCGGCCATTTCCTTAATTTTAAGAAATTTCTAAACAAATAAATTTATCGATTTTGATAATATTTAAAAAAAATTCTGACACGTTATTTTAGTAAAATTAAAAAATTTAAAGTTAAAGCAATTTGATTTGAAAGAAATCTTATAGCATAAAAAAATAATGTACAACCAATTATTAACAATCGGTTTGTTCATCTGATTCAACTATTGATGGATTGTTGAATGACGAATCGATGACACGGATGACCATAAATTTTTTAAAAATCTGAGTTAACGATTTTTTGGTGGGTTTTTAGCTACCTAGTAATTGTTAGAAATAAACATATTTTCCGCAATTTTATTGACTTTTATTTACCTTTCGAAGATGCAAAAATAAAATAAATAAAATACCATGATTGAAGTAATTTAATTTATGAAATGGTAATTTAATTGTTATTTAATAAATCAAAATTAAATGTGACTTTCCAATCCAATGTATATAGTTTTTGTCTGAAATACACCAGAATTTTTATAATTTTTATAATAAATTTAATCATTAAGCTTTTAATTAAATATTTGTTCCTTCTTAAAGTTTTAAGAAGTTTTTTTTTTAAATTATTCTATTTGAGTATGACCCACACTAATGAAAATACAATACATAAA